TGCATGGTGATAGGCTTGGGGCACCATTTGTTGAAGATGTTCTCTTTGTTCCAGCATATAAATTTGGATTGTTTGTCAAAACTCAGGTGTTCGTAGGTGTCTGGGTTAATATCAGGGTTTTCAACTATATTCCATTGGTCTACCTGTCTATTTTTGTGCCAACACCAAGCTGTTTTCAGGACTATAGCTCTGTAATAGAGATTGAAGACAGGGATGGTGATGCCTCCATATTGTACAGGGTAGTTTTGGCTATCCTGGGTCTTTTGTTTCTCAATATAAAGTTGAGAATTGTTCTTTCAAGGTCTGTGAAGAATTGTGTTGGGATTTTGATGGGGATTGCACTGAATCTGTAGATTGCTTTTGGCAAGATTGCCATTTTTACTTTGTTGATCCTACCCATCCAAGAGCATGGGATATCTTTCCATTTTCTGGTATCTTCTTTAATTTCTTTTTTTAGAGACTCAAAATTCTTATGGTACAGGTCTTTAACATTTTTGGGTAGTGTTACCCCAAGATATTTTATGTTGTATGTGGCAATTGTAAAAGGTGATGTTTCTCTGATTTCTTTCTCCACCAATGTGTCATCCGTATATAGTAGGGCTACAGATTTTTTTGAGTTAATCTGGCATCCTGCCACTTTGCTAAAGGTGTGTATCAGCTGTAGGAGTTCCCTGGTAGAGTTTTTTGGGTCACTTATGTAGACTATCATATCATCTGTAAATAGTGAGAGTTTGGCTACTTCCTTTCTGATGTGTATTCCCTTGTATTCTTTTGTTGCTCTAGCTAGAACTTCAAGGACAATATTGAAGAGGTATGGAGAGAGTGGATAGACTTGTCTTGTCCATGATTTTAGAGGAATTGCATTGATTTTCTCTCCATTTAATTTTATGTCAGCTGTTGCTGTATATTGCTTTTATTATGTTGAGGTATGTTCCTGTTATCCCTGATTTCTCCAAGACCTTTATCATGAAGGGGTGTTGGATTTTGTCAAAGGCTTTTTCAGCATCTAATGAGATGATTGTGTGTTTTTTTTCCTCAGTCTGTTTATATGGTGGATTACATTGATGGATTTTTGTATGTTGAACCATCCTTGTATCCCTGGGATGAAGCCTACTTGATCGTGGTGGATGATTTCTCTGATGTGTTCTTGGATTCGATTTGCCAGTATTTTATTGAGAATTTTTGCATCAATATTCATGAGGGATATTGGTCTGTAGTTCTCTTTCTTAGTTGTGTCTTTGTGTGGCTTGGGTATCAAGGTTATTGAAGCCTCATAAAAAGAGATTGGCAATGACCCTTCTGCTTCTATTGTGTGGAATACTTTGAGGAGAAGTGGTATTAGCTGTACCTTGAATTTCTGGTAGAATTCTGCACTGAAGCCATCTCACCCTGGGCTTTTTTGTTTGGGAGACTTTTGATGACTGTTTCTATTTCATTGGGGTTATAGGTCTATTTAAGTTGTTTATCTGTTCTTGACTTAATATTGGTAAGTGAAATCTGTCCAGAAAATTGTCCATTTCCTTTAGATTTTTGAATTTTGAGGAATATAGGTTTTTGAAGTATGGCCTGATGATTCTCTGTAAATTCTCTGTGTCTGTTGTTATGTCCCCCTTTTCATTCCTGATTTTATTAATTTGCATGTTCACTCTCTGCTGTTTGGTAAGTTTGGATAAAGGTTTGTGTATCTTGTTGATTTTCTCAAAGAACCAACTCTTCGTTATATTGATTCTTTGTATTGTTCTCAATTTGATTATTTCCTGGTGTCTGCTCCTCCACGGTGTTGAATTTATTTTTTTATGTCATATGGACACTGTTGGTAAAAAGGGCCATTAAGCAGGTACCCTCAATTCTATGTATTTATTTAGAAATTATATATGCCATACTCATTTGTGTTGCCGTTTGCTGCATAGAAAAGTACCCAAAAGTGCCTTGGCAGTTTAAATAAAAACAAATATGTCTTCATTCATAGGTTTCTTGGGTCTGAAACTCAGGAGGCAGAGGCAAGTGGATTGCTGTGAGTTCGAGACCAGCCTGGTCTACAAGAACTAGTTCCAGGACAGCCTCCAAAGCCACAGAGAAACCCTGCCTTGAAAAACCAAAAAAATTATGTTAAAACTACCATATTACTATTGAACATTTTAAATTTTATTTATTATTTGAAGTCTTGGATAGCAAGTCCAGGAATTTACATGTTACACAGTCCACCACTTATCTTACATCCTTAGCTCTGTTAAATACTTTGTAATAGCATATATTCTTTTCAAATTCATGGTTGCCCTGAGATAGGAGCTAGTGTTTATGACTCTTAGATTTTCTGTAAAGTGGATTATTTGTGGAAGAAGGTTGCCATTTGTGGGGGCTAAATGAGGACTTGTTACAGGAAAGTGTAGTAAGGAAAGAGGGTAAAGCTCTTTCTATAGGCCAGTCCATAATGCCCTTTTCCATCTACTAAGGCAGGTCAGGGGAAAAATAGAGAGAAATTTATGTTTTGCACTCTGCATTATACCATGTATGCCTCAGAGTTTACAATTAAGCATCGTGGATATTAAAATCACTTTCTTCTGGTAAAGGTTTTATAATAAGTGTATATTTTATATTTATTTGAATTTAATGTTTTAAGTTATTTTATTTTTTGAGATTATAATTACATAATTTCCACCTTCCCTTTCCTTCCTACAGATCGAGAAAGTGAAGAAGGGACGAGTGACAACTTCTGTTTCCACTGGGGGTCTTGGGTCCCCACTGAGAAGATGTGAGCCTCCTGAAGCCATTTCTAAGAGGTCATCTTCTCCTGTGAAATCCAAGTAAGCATATCTTCCCTTGCCAGAACTCTGATGGTTGACAGTCGATTTAATTTAGTTTGGTTTGGTTCCATCCAACACTGTGGCTTCTGTTCTGCCAAAAGCATGACCAACAAGAAGGGGTGAGCAGGACAGATGTCTGCCTTTGGGGTATGTGTTTACACACTTATGTATCTTCTGGATAAATGATGGACCATTTGTAAGTTTGTTGCTTGGTAACATATATAGGGCTCATATTTGCCAAAATGATATGGTCAGCATTTTCTCTTTAGGTCCTTCAATTCAATTTTTGTCTTCTTTATTTCCCCTGGCATTATCCTTTCTCTTTTGATTGTACTATGTCTAGTTCTGGATTGAAGTGACTGCATTGTGCATAGGCACCTGCTTACCATCTCCTTTCCTACTCATCTTACTGTCTCACTGTTTGTCTCTTTAACAGATAACTGGTGGTTAGCAATTCTGGTTTGGAGACAGAGTCTCATATAACCAAGGATGTCTTTGACCTGATCTTTCTACCTCTGCTTCTACAATGTTGGGATAATAGGTATATGTTACCACATAGCCCAACATTTTTTTCAGATTTTGTAAAATTTAAATTAGAAACAAACTTGTTTTACATGTCAGTCCCAGTTCCTTCCTCCTTCCCTCCTCCCCTGCCCCCCCACCAACCCCCCATCCCATCCTCTTTCTGCTCCCCAGGGAGGTTGAATCCTTCCATGGGGATCTTCAAAATCTGTCATATCCTTTGGAATAGGGCCTAGGCCCTTCCCCCGTGTGTCTAGGCTGAGAGAGTATCCCTCTATGTGGAGAGGGCTCCCAAAGTCCATTCATATGCTAGGGATAAATACTGATCCACTACCAGAGGCCCCATAGATTACAAAGGCCTCCTCAGTGACACCCACATTCAGGAGGTCTGGTTTCTCAGCTATCTGTCTGGGATCCTTGAGGTCCCCCTAGTTCAGGTCAGCTGTTTCTGTGGATTTCTCCAGCCTGGTCTTGACCCCTTTGCTCATCACTCTTCCCTCTCTGCAACTGGAATAGCCCAACATTTTAAAATAAAATATGTTTTATTAGGGATGGATAAACTCAACAAGGACAATGTAAATGAAAATCAAATTTGTGATCACTGTCCTAAGTTACTAAAAGATTTTTTTTTTTTGGTTTTTGGAGACAGGGTTTCTCTGTGTAGCTTTGGAGCCTATCCTGGCACTCGCTCTGGAGACCAGGCTGGCCTTGAACTCATAGAGATCCACCTGACTCTGCCTCCCAAGTGCTGGGATTAAAGCTTTGAAATATGGAGCATTTTAGATTTCAGAACTTCCTATTAAGAATGATTAACCTAAAAGTAAGCAAAGAAAATAAAACATAAAACAGAGCCAGGCGTTGGTGGCGCACGCCTTTAATCCCAGCACTTGGTAGGCAGAGGCAGGCAGATCTCTGTGAGTTCGAGACCAGCCTGGTCTACAAGAGCTAGTTCCAGGACAGCCTCGAAAGCCACAGAGAAACCCTGTCTCGAAAAAAAAAAAAAAAACCAAAAAAGAAAAAAAAACATAAAACAGATAGAAAAGAATGCTTAACTATTGTGAAAGAGCTGAGAGGTCTAAATAGAGGAAGAATGGATGAGGGCAATAGACAGTAGGTGGGGGAAGGGAATGGGAAGAGAGGAGGGAGGGGAAACTGGTATGTAAAATAAATGAAAAAATTAACAACTGTTGAGAGGTCTAAAGAGAAGCAAGTGTTTCTTGGTTTTACCTTTTTAAATTAATTAATTCATTCTCTCCTACATTACACCTTACCACAGGTTCCCCTCCCTCAGATCTACTCCTTCTTTTCCCTTAAGAAAAGAGCAGACCTCCCAAGGATGTCAACAAAACAAGCATGGCATAACAAGTTATAATGAGATTAGGCACACCCCTTGTGTTAAGGTTAGATGAGGCAACCCAGTAGGAGGGCAAGGGTCTGAAAGGGAGGCAAAAGAGTCAGAGACAGCTCCTGTTCCCACTGTTAGGAGTCCCATAAGAACATCAAATTACACAACTATGCCATATATACAGAGGACCTAGGTCAAGCATATACAGGCTCCCTGATTGTCAGCTTAGTTTCTGGGAGCTCCTATGAGCCCTACTTAGTTGATTCTGTGGACCATTTCTTCTGGGGTCCTTGACCCCTCTGGCTCCTACAATCCTTCTTCCCCCTCTTCCATTGGATTCCTCAAGTTCCCTCAACCTAATATTTGGCTGTAGGTCTCTGCATCTGCTCCCAGCAGTTGCTGGATGAAGTCTCACTGATAAAATTTGGGCTAGACTCTGGTCTATGAGTATCATTAGTAACAGAGTATCATTAGGAATCATTTCATTGATTTGTTTTGCCAGTTGTATTTGATTCTATCATAGGTCTTGGGCTATCCAGTCTCTAGTTCCTGGCCATCCAGGCAGTGTCAGGCATGGGCTCCCTCTCATGGCATAGGTTTCAAGTTGTACCAGTTATGAGTTGGCCCTTCCCACAAGTTCTGTGCCACCTTTACCCTTGCAGACAGGACAGATTGTAGGTCAAAGGTTTTGTGGCTGGATTGGTGTCCCAGTCCCACTGCTGGAAGCCTTTTCTGGTTAGAGGAGACAACCAGTTCAGGCTCCCTATCCCCTATTGCTAAGAATCTTTGCTAGGGTCACTCTCATAGATTCCATGGAGTTTCCATTGCACTAGGTTTCTACCTCACCCCTGAAATGCTCCCAGTACTGAAAAACAGATATTTTGGTGGCACACATCTATAATCATAGTGTTTGGGTGGTAAGAGAGAAGGATCACATAAATTCTAGGCCAGCCTGAGCCAGCATAGGCTACATATTGAAAGCCCTCTCCCCAAATAAATAAAAATAAAATTCCCAGAAAGATAGGCTTCCATTGGATGAAAATTAGTGACTGAATCACGGTGCTTATGGACTGGTCTAGAAAATAATGGGAGCTCACATGTGTTGAACATAAATTATTTAAGAAAATTCAGCCAAACTATACAGTAATGAAAAACATTGGTCATGACTGCCCACAACCACATGGGTGGATCTCAGGAATGTTAAAATGAGTGGAAAAAGCAAGTTAAAGAGGAATGTCAATAATACATTCCACTTATTTTTAGTTCCTAGATATACTACCTAAACAATGTTCTTCAGAATTAAATATGGGTAAAATGAGTTTTCATGAAAATGATATGGCAGACATAAAATTCAGGATGATACTGGCATTTTTGAATGAGGGAAAAGGGGGATCAGACAAGGAAGGGCCACACAGGATTTTTCAAAGTCACGTTAGTGATGTGGCTTTTGCTTATTTTTTTATTGAGCTATACATTTTTCTCTACTTTCCTTCCCTTCTCCCTCTCCCATTCCACCCTCCACACTCCCAGTTTACTCAGAAGATCTTGTCTTTTCCCCTTCCTAGGCAGATCCATGTATGTCTCTCTTGGGGTCTTCTTTGTTATATAGGTTCTCTGGGGTTGTGGCCTGTAGGCTGGTTGGCCTTTGCTTTATGTCTAATATCCATCGATGAGTGAGTACATAGTATATTTGTCTTTCTGGGTCTAGGTTACCTCACTCAGCATGTTGCTCTTTAGTTCTGTCCATTTGCTTGCAAATTTCAAGATGTCATTGTTGCTGTTTTTTTGTTTGTTTGTTTGGTTTGATTTTAACTATGGAGTAGTACTCCATTAAATGTACCACATTTTCTTTAATCATTACTCTGATGAGGGGCATCTAGGTTGTTTCCAGGTTCTGGCTATTATGAATAATGCTGCTATGAACATAGTTGAGCAAATGATTTTGTGGTGTGAGTGTATCCTTTGGGTATATGCACAAAAGTGGTATTGCTGGCTGTTGAGATAGATTGATTCCCAATTTTCTGAGAAACTGCCGTACTGATTTCCAAAGTGGCTGTACAAGTTTGCACTCCCACCAGCAATGGAAGACTGTTCCTCTGTCTCCATATCCTCTCCAGCATGGTGTTTTTGATCTTGGCCATTCTGACAGGTGTAAGATGGTATCTCAGAGTTGTTTTGATTTGCATTTCCCTGATGGCTAAGGATGTTGAACATTTCTCTAAGTGTCTTTTGGCCATTTAAGATTCTTCTGATGAGAATCCTGTTTAGTTCTATACCCCATTTTTTATTGGGTTATTTGGTGTTTTGGTGACTAGCGTCTTGAGTTTCTTATATATTTTGGAAATCAACCCTCTGTCAGATGAAGACCTTTTCCCATTCTGTAGGCTGCCATTTTGTCTTGTTTACTGTGTCCTTTGCCTTACAGAAGCTTCTCAGTTTCAGGAGGTCCCATTTATTCGTTGTTGCTCTCAGTGTCTGTGCTACTGGTGTTATGTTTAGGAAGTCGTCTCCTTTGCCAGTGTGTTCAACGAGACTTCTGACTTTCTCTTCTATCAGGTTCAGTGTGGTTGGTTTTATGTTAAGGTCTTTGATTCATTTGGCCTTGTGTTTTGTGCATGGTGATAGATAGGGATCTATTTGTAATCTTCTACACGTCAGCATCCAGTTATGCCAGCACCATTTTTGAAAATACTTTCTTTTTTCAATTTTATAATTTTAGCTTCTTTGTCAAAAATCAGTTGTTCATAGGTGTGCACGGGTCTACAATTTGATTTCATTTGTCTACCTGTCTGTATTTATGCTAATACCAAGCTGATTTTATTACTATAACTCTATAGTAGAGTTTGAAGACAGGGGTGGTGATGCCTCCATAAGTTCCTTTATTGTTCAGGATTGTTTTAGCTATTCTGGGTTTTTTGTTCTTACATATGAAATTGAGTATTGTTTTTCAAGGTCTGTGAAGAATTTTGCTGAGATTTTGATGGGTATTGCATTGAATCTGTAGACTGCTTTTGGTAGGATTGACATTTTCATGATGTTGATCCTACCTATCCAAGAGCATGGTTGATCTTTCCATTTTCTGATATCTTCAATTTCTTTCTTCAAAGACTTAAAGTTCTTGTCATACAGGCCTTTCACTTGTTTGGTTAGAGTTACCCCAAGATATTTTATATTTGTGGCTATTATAAAGGGTGATGTTTCTCTGATTTCTTTCTCAGCCTGCTTATCTTCTGTATATAGAAGGGCTACTAGTATTTTTTTAGTTAATGTTCATGATTTTAGTGGAATTGATCTGAGTTTCTCTCTGTTTAATTTGATGTTTTGTCAACTTGCTTATATTGCTCTCATTATGTTTAGGTATGTTCCTTGTAACCCTGATCTCTTCAAGTCCTTTATTATGAAAAAAGATATTGGATTTTGTTGAAGGCTTTTTCAGCATCTAATGAGATAAGCATGTTTTTTTCTCTTTCAGTTTGTTTATATGGTGGATTACATGGATGGATTTTCATATGTTGAACCATCCCTGCATCTCTGGGATGAAGCCTACTTGATCATGATGGATAATTTTTCTGATGTGTTTTTGGATTCGGTTTGCCAGTATTTTATTGAGTAGTTTTGCATTGATGTTCATAAGGGAGATTAGTCTAAAGTACTTTCTTTGTTGAATCTTTGTGTGGTTTAGGTATAAGGGTTACTGTAGCTCATAAAAGGAGTTTGGCAATGTTCCTTCTGTTTTTGTTGTTGTTGTTGTTTTGGTTTTTTGAAGACAGGTTGTCTCTTTTGAAGACAGGTGTAGTTTTGGAGCCTGTCCTGGAACTAGCTCTGTAGACCAGGCTGGCCCCAAACTCACAGAGATCTATCTGCCTGCCTCTGCCTCCTTAGTGTTGTGATTAAAGGCAAGTGCCACCAACACATGGCTGTTCCTTCTGTTTCTATTGTGTGGAACAATTTGAGGAGTATTGGAGTTAGCTTTTCTTTTCAATTCTGCCCTGAAGCCATCTTGTTCTGGGCTTTTTTTTTTTTTTTTTTGGTTGGAAAACTTTTAATGACTGCTTCTATTTCCTTATGGGCTATAGGTCTATTTAAATTGTTTATTTGGTCTTGATTTAATTTTGGTATGTGGAACCTATACAGAAAACTGTGTAAAAATATGGAACACTTCACAGATTTGAGAGTCATCCTTGGGCAAGGGCCATGCCAATCTTCTCTGTATTGTTCCAATTTTTTTATGAACCATGTGCTGCCAAAGTGAGCACCATGATGTAACATTAAAAGCACACTAAAAATGATTAGCTTTGAGAGGGGGTCTTGTTACCCTTTTTGAATTTGGATCCCAAATTTCAGGCTACTCATGTGACCTCCTTGATCTCAGGTAAATCAAGCCACAGTTAGATAGTTAGGTATACTACTAGCATTACTCTTTTAAGTGGTTGTTTCTTTTCATTGTTTGTATTGTCAGATATGTCTCTGAGTTCCAAAAGACTTGGCTTCAGCTACACTCTAAAAGTAGTATATGGAACATAGATGAAATCTAGAGAGAAGAAATCAAGTGTGGCCAAAACTGTGTTTCACTAGCCCGTTTCTGCTTCTGAATCTTAATATACTACTTACGCTTCCAGTTCTGTGTAAAATATTCTAAGTTGGTTTTGGTCATTATGATAGTGATGTGGACTGTCTTTGTTTCTTTTTGCCTAGCAGGAGCTTAACATGTCTCTGTTTTTAGTACATTCATATTGCTTAAGGAAAAAAATACTTCACATGGTAAGAGTTACTCAAGCTTTTCGAATATTTCCATAGACTTTACAAGTCCATGACCTAAAAATCTGAAATATAAAACTTTTTGAGTGCCAGCATGAAGCTCTTTGGTCTCTTAACTTATCCTTAGTCTTCCTTTTTTCATGATCTTCACTTATAAGCTAGTTCATTTGAGGGCTGGCCTTTGATTTAGGTTGGTTTGGTATTTAATTGAGGTTAGATTCAGATCCTGCATTTGGACAGAAACCCTATGGCAGAGGTGTTGAATCCTTGCTAGTATCTTTATACCATAGTGTTAGTTTGTGTGGTAAGGTAGTATACATAGGTTTTCTTTTTCTCTCTGAAAAGTAATAAATTTTAGACTGTTGGCTGAGTTCTCCTAGCCTGTCTCCTAGCCAGGATGTAGATTGTGTTCATACTTGGCCTTAAATAGCATTGAAGAAAATAAAACTAGATTCCAGGAGTATGTGTGGTGATTCCTTTGTGGTCCCACTTTGCAGTCCATTCATGTTCAGAAGTGTGAAGCTGTCTCCAGAGAGTTATTCTTGCCATTGTACTTACAGAGGTGTTTGTTACTATCTTTTTGCTATTCATGCAACTTAACAAAGCTATATAATCCTGTTGTATGCTACAAGAAGGCCTCCTTCAAGCATACTTTTTAAATTCCCTATTACACTATTATTGAACCTGAAAATTAAAGTAGCAAACTAAAACTAAATACTAAAAAAAAATATCAATACTTGGGTGCCATTCCCTGTGGGAAAAGTCACTTAGGCTCTCAGTACTGGTTTTCTACGCGCTCTGTCTCTCTCTGTCTCTCTCTCTCTCTCTCTCTCTCTCTGTGTGTGTGTGTGTGTGTGTGTGTGTGTGTGTGTGTGTGTTAGCATATTCTCTTTGTTAATGGGGGTTGGGATGGGGAACTATAAACAGCCTTCTTGAATTTTATCCCACATAACCTATTCTCACTTCACAAGTAGAAGGGTGGTTGTTTGTTTATTTTTAATGTGTAGTCATGAGTGCTTGATCCAGTTTTACTTATAACAGAACCTTATAGTCAGTGGTGTGATGTTAACTTCCATATGACCATTATGGATCTGACAAACTATAGACTTCTGCCAGATAGAGATAGAGAATGTGACCTCATCTTTGCATCAGTGAGCCATTTAATGCAGACAAGAATGTCATGTTGGCATTCTGATGGTAACTTTATCGCTGCTAAGCTTGGGACCAGTTCAGGCTTTGTATTAGTTACTTTTCTCATAATTATGGCAAAATAACTGGCAAAAGCAACTTAAGGAAAGGTTGATTTTGGTCCACAATTTGAAGGTACAGTCTATCATGGTGGTGAAGCAGTTGGTTACATTGCATCCATAGTCAGGAAGCAGAGAGATAATTGCTAGTACTCAGCTCCTCATTTTCTCCTTTTTGTTCAGTACCCCACGTCATTGATAGTGCCATCTATATTAAGAGTGGGTTTTTTGACAGGTGGTGGTGGTACACACCTTTAATCCAGCACTTGGGAGGCAGAGGCAGGTTTATCTCTGAGTTCAAAGCCAGCTGGGTTTACAGAGTGAATTCCAGGACACCCAGAGCTATACAGAGAAGCCCTGTTTTTTTTTTTTTTTTTTTTTAAAGAGTGGGGTTTCCCCTTTCAATTAAAATTTTTTTGAAACATCCTCATCATCATACCCAGAGGTACATTTTTATGTTGATTCTAAATCTAATCAAGTTGACAATAAATATTAATCATCACAGACTTTCCCATTTCTCACAGTCCAGTTGTAGGGATCCCTGCTAGTTAGAGTAGTGTTTGCAGAAAACATCTATGTATTCATTCATGGGCACAGGTACCTGTGTACTGAAGGCCCCTGAGGCAGGACTCATCACTTTTCATACTACTTAGAGAATCCCAGTGTAAAGGCTCCCTGCAGGTCAAGAGAACTCCCTGTAGCAAGAGAACTACAATGATCAGGTTGTTTATGTCCAACTCCTTGCTTAGTCTCACTGATTAGAAAACTCTTATCTTACTCCCTGGGGAGTCAGATGAGTGCAAGGAAAAAAATAGACAGTTTTGCCAGTTTTCCATTACTAAAAATGACTCCTTAATGAATCAAGGTAGAGATGTCTATAGGAGGAGAAAATGTTTCTGTCCATCCACCATATCATTTTTTTTACTGTGACTTCTCCCATCTAATCTGATATCCACCCCTTTGCCTTTACTCTTGTTGGACTGAAGGCATCCATGACACCCGCATAATGTTCTGGGGAGCAAGTAATATGTGTTGATTGTGGTAGAACATTAGACCAAATCTCTCTCAGTTACTCTCACTTGTTATGACAAACATGTAGTGCTTTACAGCTCTGAAAAATGTGTACCTCAGAAGGCCATTGTCACCTTGAGAAAGCAGACAGAGGCTTTCCAAGGTGGAGGACAAATGAGGATCTGCCTGTTTAATAATGTACTTACAGTCCTTAGTGACGGCACAGAAAAACACGTGGCTAGACTTTCTGCTATGTTTATATATATTCTATGAACTAAAACATAAGTTTTGTAGCTTCTAGAAAAACAGTGCACAGTTACAGCACTGTCAACATGAGAGAACAAAAATAAAGCATGTTTTCCCATTACAGTTTGTCTTAGTTAGGCTATGATAAAACACCAAGACCAAAACAACTTTGGTAGGAAGGGGTTTATTTTGATTATACTTAGACTTCACAGTCCATCACTGAGAGAAGTTGGGGCAGGAACCTGGAAGCAGGAGCTGATACAGAGGACATAGAGGGATGCTGCTTAATGTCTTGCTCATCATGACTTGCATATCACAGGGATGGCACACCCACAGTGAGTTAGGGCATCACACAGCAATCATAAATCAAGAAAATGCCTCAGAGGCTTGTCCTTGGCCAATCTAGTAGGGACATTTTCTCAATTGAGATTCCTTCTTCCTGGCAGGGCATTGGTGGCACACGCCTTTACTCCCAGCACTCGGGAAGCAGAGGCAGGCGGATCTCTGTGAGTTCGAGGCCAGCCTGGTTTACAGAGCGAGTTCCAGACAGGCTCCAAAGCAATATAGAGATTCCTTCTTCCCAAATGACCCTATCTCGTGTCAGGTTGACATAAAACTAACCAATACAAGTTTATCATCCTGATTTTGGTTCATATTACTATTTTTGAGGCATCATCATCTCAAAAATTCTCCTGCCTCATCCTCCTAAATCTTAGGATTTGCCACAGACTAGCCCAGCAAGGTATGGTAATCCCTAGGATTAGGGTCCTCGAAGACTAGGTGGGTAAGGATTCGGCAGTGACAAACAGAAACAAACACAGAGGCAGTTTGAATCTGAGTGTATTTTTCAGTTCTCAAACAAGGCTTTTTTATAGAGATATTTTCTTAGGGGATTTTTTTTAAAGCAAACCCAAACATATGACATTATTGTTACTTGGCACAGTGACGCAGAAATCCAAAACATAAAATCATCCAGGGTTAACCATATATTTCTTAAATCAAATTAATAAATTTTTATCATCAGTTATTGTTTAACATCTATTACCTAGTTCTTGTGAGTTTTTGAAATATTGAGCTATTTTAACTATTTAAACTCTTTTTTATTAAAAGCTTTCTTTACCAGAAACTTAAGCCCACTCTCAATGACACATGTACAGCCATATGAAATTTTATTGTTGGGAAGGTTTTTGCTATTTGTACTTATGTGAATGATGTGAATGATTTGGAAAGCTCTGTTTTTTTCCGGAGATGAGGTCATGGCCATTGCCCCCATCTCAGGGGATGGGTTATTTTTTTATCTATTTCTTTGGTTTAAAATGACAGCATAGGTTTTTAGGGACATTTTGTTAATATGAAAAAGGAATAGAAGAACAAACAGAAATTGCCATGAGAATCACAGCCCAATATTTTTCTCTGGCCGAGAGTTTCACCAGTTCCAGGAGACCTCCATCTTTTGAAGTTAACACCTCAGTCTGTGAAACTTGTCACACAGAATCTACTGGATTTGATGTGACAGAGATTACCAGAACACACTACTGCATTTTATCCTGGTTCATTCTTATCTAAGAGGATCATTTAGATTTTTATTTTGTTATCTGTTAAAACATCACCAATATCCAGTAGCCATTGAGTGTTTATATTTTGATAAATCTAAAGAGAACATACTAGGATCTCAGTGAGATCTCTCAATGGATAAAGGTGATATCCACCAAAGCTGAAAACCTGAGTTTGATCCCTGGTACCCACATTTTGTAAGAAGAGAACTGACTGACTCCTACAGGAATTTCTGTGACCTACACACACACACACACACACACACACACACACACACAGAGAGAGAGAGAGAGAGAGAGAGAGAGAGAGAGAGAGAGAGGGTGAAAATTTTAAAAGCATCTAGGATTGAGCCAGGCATAGTGGAGCATGCCTGTAATTCCAGTACTTGAGAAGTAGAGGTGGGAAGAATGAGAGTTCAAGGTCATCCTTAGCTACACAGTGAGTTTGAGGCCAGCTGATACTACATGAGACCCTCTCTCAAAACAATGAAACAAAATAAAAAAGAGCAGGGAACATGAAAGAATTCTGCTTACTTAAATAAACCATACATAAAAGGACAAATATACGATTCCACTCATGAGTAAGATTCCTGAAATAAACAAGTTCACAGAAACAGAAAGTAGAAGAGAATAATGGTTACCAGGGACTGAGAGAATGGGTGATTGTTTAATGGAAATGGATGGCAGCAATTGTTAAATAACAGTATGGATGTACCTATTGTTATACAGCTGTACCTTAAAAGATGGTTATGATGGGCTGGGTGTTGGCTCACAGTTGTAATCCTAGCACATGGGAAGCTAAGGCAGGAAGATCTGAAGTTCAAGACCAGTGTGCTATACATAGTAAGTTGAGGGCCAGCCTGGGCTATGTGCTACCTTTTGTAATGTTGTGTTATATGTCTTTTCACAGTTTTAATACATGGAGCTATCTCCAGAGCTTCGGTTCCAAATGGTTGTTCTAACTGTATAGAAATTAATTAAGTTATATAGTCTTTCAGTCTGATTAATTTTGGTATGTGTTTTTTTTCTGATAATAAAGCTTAAAATAAATAAATAAATAAAATGAAGCAAGCTTGTGTATTGCTATATGTTGAAACCGAATCCGACTCTAGTGTTTACCTAAAAAGAGGATATAGGGAAATGCCTAATAATCTATCTTACCTTGTTTTGTATTATAATAACAAAATGCTTGAATCTTGGTGTTTCATAAAAAAGATTTGTTTTGGATCATAATTTTTGGAGGCATAGTAGTTGAAGAACATAGTACCTGCGTTTGTTTAGCTTCCAGTGAGGTACTCATGCTGCATGGTAGAAAAGAAGAAAAGTAGGCATATATGAAAGGGCATGTCTGTGTAAGACAGGAAAGGCTGGTCCACATTCTAACCTATCCTTATAGTAAATAATCCAGTCCCAGAAAGTATAGCTTGAGGCCTGTGAGCTGATTCATTGCATAAAAACATTTGCGACACAAGTCTGGAAACTGGAGTTTTGATGCCAGGAGTCCACATAAAGATGGAAGGAGTGAACTGACTCCACAAAATTGTCCTCTGTCCTCTGTCCTCTGACCTCACATGTGCACTGTGGCATGGACAGACACACACACACACACACACACACACACACACACACACACACTTTACATGACTAATCATATCCAAACCATGTTATCATCTTAAACATTGTCACAAACAAAAATGAATTTAGGACATGTTATTACCAGCTGGATTTCTTACAATATATCTCTTTCTTCCAGGACCATCTTATAGATATCATGTTTTGGGGGGGATGACTTTGGGGGTATATATTAAGCCCTATATTTGTTTCTATAGAAGAATGCAGTTATTCAGTTTCTTGGAACAAAATTTACCAAGAGTTTTATGGTCAACTTCAGTGTATTTTATGCCTTATTTTGGTTTTCCAGGACAACTTCAAAAGCATACCCACAGTCTCCAAAGACAGTGAAGCCCCCATATATAGGGTCTCCTGTGAAGTATCGCTTTCCTCCCATTCCCAGTGAAGAAACAATCAAGAAGAAGGCAGAGAAGGAGAAGAGCAATAAGGAAAAGGAAGGTGTCACTGGTCTGCAAACCACTGGCCTACCCAGAGAAGAAACCCTAGAGAAGCACATGATTGACAAATATGCTACTGAGAAGTATGTAGCTGATAAGCATGCTACTGAGAAGTATGTAGCTGATAAGCATGCCACTGAGAAGCATTCTGCCACAGGAGGGAAGGCTGAGCACAGTGCAGGTAAACCTATATTGATGTTGCCAGTTGGCCTTGGCCTTCCCCTCATAGTTCTTCCTCTGTCCTGATCTATATGTCATTCTCTCATGTTTCGGGGAGAAGGGGTTTCCCCCTAGGACAGCTTCATCCCCTTGTACTGTTTCCTCTGGTTTTCTCATCATCTTCTCATCCTCCTTTCTTTCTGAGGAGACCTAGGCTTTGACTCTGCTTATGACTGTGGAACCTCATAGGAGTGCAAAGATGGGCCACATACAGTCTATATGCACACTTCTGCACAACAGAGCACTAGCCTGACATGTAGTGTTGTGGAACTTGCCTGTAGCTCTGTCCTCCACTGTTTCCTGCCCCTACTGAGACATAAACACACCCAGGGTCACAGGTATCCCATTGTAGCTTCTTCTGCTTAGTGATTAATTATAACACTGTTTTGCAGTGTTTGTCATCACTACACTGAGTTAAATAGTTTTGTGTCCACTTCTATATGAGTGGAATCATTGCGTTCATTTCCCCTGATGTTTTTATTTTGCTACTACTTGTCTGTCTGCCTCAGGAAAACCCACAGCAGGCACCACTGATGCAGGGGAGGCTGCAAAGATCCTAGCTGAAAAGAGACGTAAGGCTCGGCTACAGAAGGAACAAGAGGAGCACGAACGACTGGAGAAGGAAGAACAAGAGAGGTATACAGGAACGCAGACTTGTTTGATCCAATGTAAAGATGGGGTTGGAAAGATTGGCTTGCCTTTCTATTTTTTGTGTTGCCAAAACCTAGACAGAAGTATAGGAATCAAGATTATGTGGACTTCACAAAGCTATATGTCATTAACGATGACAGAACTTTGCTCTTTTCTGAGGACCTAGAAACTCACATTTCCAGGATCTAACTGTTACAGGTACCTTCCTTTCCTTTCTTGGATAAGGAGACAAATTTAAAGGCAACTCTAGTGGAGCTATGAGGAGAGTTTAAACTTGATGATAGATTGAGTCTCCCTGGAAAGACAGAAGATTCTGGATATAGAGATGTTGACTCTGCTTTCTAGATGATCCTAACTCATGCTCTAAAGTCAGGGAGGGAAAAGAATTTGTCAGAGTCCCATAGATAAGAAGGTAGAGAGAAGGCCCAACCCCCTAGCTCATGAGAATGAGGCATGTGAAAAGCCACTCCTAGAGCAAGACAAAGGATATCATTGCAGTGGTTTCTAAATGTTGGAGAGTATCTAAAAGAAGTGTTCACGGAACATAGTGAAAATATCCTGGCCCTAATCTCATTCTACTTTAGCATTCTACTTCAGCAATTCATCAATGTTTGAAAGCCACTGTGGCAATAATACCAGGACACTTTGATGTGATACAGGCAGTCCTGCTTTTTCTGATCGTTGTGTTCAGAAAGGAAACAAACACATGGTTAAAGGACAAGGTCAATTTTATCCCTACAAGGAGAAAAGATGCTCTTGGGATGATCACAGGGTACTATCTGGTACCATTTAAGGAATGAGACAGGAAGCAAGCAGTGCTGTAGCACTTGAATGCCAGCACCGAATTTAAGATAACAAATAAAATAGTCTTTATTAATCCTGTAAAATCTTTGTGGTTTCTTTTTTATCCATTTTCTTTCAAGACAGGGTTTCTCTGTATAGCCTGGCTATCCTGAAATTCCCTCGGTAGACCAGGCTGCCTTTGAGCTCAGAAATCCACTTGCCTCCTAAGTGTATGCCAACACTGCCTGGAGTGTAGTTTCTGATTAAATGTTTTGTTTTGTTTTGTTTTGTTTTGTTTTGTTTTGTTTACAGTTGGGGGATAGGTCCCTTCAAATTCTGAACATCTCTGAACATTTCTTACTCCAGCTTTTTTTAATCAATATCTACATGTTTTGTTATTGTTGGATGGTGTATTCAGGCTGGTTTGGGTGGGCTGAAAGCTATGTGAAGGGGAAGTAATAGGTAATGTAATCATGGGATTTAAAATGATAGGCTTGGGGCTGGAGAGATGGCTCAGAGGTTAAGAGCACCGACTGCTCTTCTAGAGGTCCTGAGTTCAATTCCCAGCAACCACATGGTGACTCACAACCATCTGTAATGAGATCTGGTGCCCTCTTCTGGTGTGCAGATATACATGGAACCAGAATGTTGTATACATAATAAATAAAAGCATTTTAAAAAATAAAAAATAAAATGATAGGCTTGGTAAAGGTAGCCACAGAAATAAACACCCCCTGAGCAGGTGAGTGATATGATTGTTGCTGTGTACCTAAAAAAGGAAAGTTATTTACCTTCCAGATACTTTGTTCTCTCTCATTTCCTTCACAGTCCAGCTACAGAAAGAATTGATTACATTCCTGTATTTATTTTCCCAACTCATACCGTTCACACTTCCATACACCATCCTTTCATTACCAGATTCTTAATTTGATGCTTCATTTCGCCCTGTAGAGCTTATCCTTGCTTTTCTTGTCTCTCCTGCATCTTACCTGTTAAGTCCCCTTAAATATTGTCTGGACTCCAACCCCTTAGTCCTTGACCAGCTCTTAGTTTGACAAGTCCTCCCTAGACACAGTGTTGCTGGCTATTGTTCCTGTCATACTTCTAATTTCCTCTGGCTTCAGAATATTTATGGATGACAGTTCGTACAGTGGTGTGTTAAGTGAACTTGTTCTCATCTCCCTGATTTCATTTTCCATTTACCCTGTGTTTATCACCTGTTTTTGAAGCTAAGTGTAGCTTTGTTTGTTTCTATACTTTCTGGAACATACTAAAGACTCCTGAATCTGTGCTTATGCTCTGAATTTAATCTAAAGCTGAATTGTCTTACACCATAGTGCCTACATATATGTAACTGTAAATTGAGGAAATTTCATTTCCTTAGCCTTATAGGATACATATCATTGTTTATAGCCACACATGGCTAGTAGTTACCAGGATAAACAACATAATTTTATAAATCATTTCCTTGTCTAAGAAAGTTCTGTTGGCTAGAATTTTCTATAAGGGAAAACATATATTTCCAAGTATATATTTTTAGTGTGTCCCATATTTACATCAAATTCAGCATCTTGAAGTTATAAATTAGTATACATCACTCATTGCTTTTTCATTTCATGCACTCCATACCATCCCAAAGTTAGACATCTCAGAGCTGCTTTCAACATTTCCATTGCCCTTCACATTACATCAATTGTTAGGTAAGTCTTCATTGGCTCTCATATTAGCATTTCTATTCTCTCCATGCTCCACCAGCACCAGATAGGTGAGCTAGACTGTGTCTGTTGAATCTTGACTGAGTGTTCCAGAGCTTGTCCACTGTTTGTGCTGTTTCCAGAGTGACTTTAATTAAATAAATGTGTTTGTCCTTGCTAATGAGTCTTGATTACAGGATTTATCCAAACCTGCCAACAAGTCTTCCATGGACTGTCTTCTCCTTGCTCCTCTGTCTTTTTTCTCTCTAGGCCAGCCTGCATCCCTCTGCAGTACACTCTAGTATGCAGCTCCACCCCACAAAAGCCTTGCTTGCGCTATGCCTCCACATGAACTCATGCTCCTTGCACATCATGTATCTTTCTTTCTCAGGTCAAGTCACTTCAGTGGCCTTTCTGGACCTGTACAGGGGAGGGAGCTGATCTTCTCCCTCTTTGAGCTTGGCTTCTAGCTGACTAATATAGCTTCATTTGTCCACAGGCTGTCTCCCTTTTCTAGTTAATACTTTAAAAGGCCAGAGAACAGTCATGGATCACTGTTGCTTGGTGCTCAGTGAAGAGGAAGAAGCTCAAGTAAAAGGCCATCAGTGACAGCAGTGGGTTAAGTGGACTCAAGGGCTAAAATTGCATGGTGAAGGCAAAAGAAACGGGAGTATACAGAGTTACACAAGTAAAAAGAAAGGGACAGATTTGGAAAGGGTGTTAAGGTTCGATTTGAAGTATTTAAGAGGATGGCATACCCAATAAGAGCATAGAAAAGAAAAAAATCAGTCTGAAAAGCTAAAAAATTAACCATCTGATTTTATATGAACATAGTTGCCTGCAGAACACACTGGTAGTTGGAAATAAAACAGAAGCCTGTGGCCTAGGTAAAACTGAAATAAATACACTTAACCCCAAATCAGTTTTCCTCTCTCTTGCCAGAAGGTGAAGCTTTGTTAGTGCCACATGTGAGGTGAGAAAGGAAAGTACCAGACAGCCTGGGGCTGGAACACAGCAGACATATCTTGGAATAGGACCATCCTCACATCTGTTTTGTTTAGTTTCAATAGTTAAAGTCACAGAAATGTGACTACCAGCTGAGAAATTGTAGCAAAAATAAAGATATTTGTGCTAAACTCTGGAAAGCCCAGTTATTGTCACCAGCTATTGAGGGAAACACTGTCCAAATCATGGTTCTGGGAGACTCCCATTAAAGAAAGGGCTGAGTAGGTGTTTTGGCAACTAGGCCCTAAGAGAGTAAAAAGCTGGTCCAGTTCCAGATGGCTGTGATACCAGAGCTCTCAGAAGCCCACATAGCAGTCACAGCCTCTGGACTTGGGGATGGTCCAAGATATACAATGAGATTCTTAGAGTTGGGGCAAGCAACTTGATATCCTAGATCCAGACTGGAGGAGATATTTACACAGCCTGGCAAACAGGAGAACTTCCTGGGATTACAAAATAGATTACATGGCTGTTAGGGGCCCATAGCAAAGAATATTTGAAGAATGATCAGGCCACAAAGCCAGCCTGAAGTCATTGTCTAAATAAGAGCACAGGCCTGAAACTACAGGCAGAAGTCTATAGTGATGTTCATACCTGGCTTCTGGCTGGCTAAGTCTCTAGGTAGCAGGTGGTTTGGGTGCAAGCTAGGGCAGACACTGGCCTTCCAATGTATAGCAACAAGGTAAGGTAGAGGTAGGAGGGAGACAGGACAGTACCACCTCATGTGGCCAGATGCTATAAGAGGGCCTCAAGAGGGAAGAAAATTCAGTGTTGTCAGGCTAATGCAAAACATATTGAGGTTTAAGAAAGACTATATTTGACTTGGGGCTTAGTCAATAAACAGATTTTTGGAGATAAATTATTAAGAAGATGGGCATAAAGACATGAACCATCCTAAAAGAGGTAAGAGGGTAGTCATAAGCAGAAGGCAGGTGGGAGAGAATTTAAGAAGGTGGATTGGGATGCCTGAGACCTGAGTATTTTTGTAGCCCACGAAAAGTTGTATATAGAATGGCAAAACTGGCATAGGAATGAGTGGGAACTAGCAAAAGATGTAAGAGCAATGGGAAGGGGTTGGAATTAATTGCACAAGTGATAGTAGCATTCTACTACCTTCTACCACATTCTACTACAGTACTTTACATATTAGTCAGAACGAGCAGGGAATTTTCTCGGTCATAACACAGTGAATGAATGAGTGGTTTAAGAAACAAGATGAAGTGGCCCCAATTTTCTCTGTAAAGTAGTTGTAATACTGTCTATAATGGTGATAAAGGTTGACAAAAAGTGATTATCCATATAGAATCCAAAGAAAGACTAAAAACATCAGTTGATACTAAGGAACACAAGATCAATCAGTTTGTGCCTTTCTCTAGTCAGTCTGGGAATCCAGGGAAGGGCATGAGTGATCCTAAGGACCACCCAGTCTGGGAATCAGGAAACACAGTAGCATCTGTCATCACAGGAATGCTCAGGTAGGGACCAGAGACATCAGGGGAGATCCTGAGGGAAAGAAGGTAGAAGTTGTTTGTACAGTGCTCACCAGGGAAGCTCACCAAAGAGGCAGAAGTATGGGTTCAGATCAGATCAAAGATTGATGATAAAGATGAAGCTTTTTAAATGAAAACTTAAAACACATGAATAATGAACAGTGAAACCCATATATTCATCCACAAGAGTAAACAATTCCAGACCCAGCACATCACTGGTGTGGGCAAACTATGACAATGAGCGAATTAAGAGAGTGTGTGAAGTGTTAGAGATTGAGAGATGGGGGCCATTATACGAAGAGTCTCACCCAGTTGCCAATGACCAAGACAAGGGATATCCTTAACGACTGAATGATAACACTTTCTGTTTGGTAAGGAAGGAGGACCGGGCTTGGATGGGTATGATAACAAGGATCAGGAGGATGACAGAACTACTCACAGGTTTGGTGAACTCTAGAAAAAGATTAGTAAAAGACAAAAGTTTTCTACTATACAAAGAAACTAGCATGTAGAGGTAGCTTATTGACAGTGACAAATGTGGTGCGTTTGGGTGGCCTGTGGTAGAGGGCTGGTGGGAAAGGATGAAATTGCTCTTAAAGGGAGAAGGTTCATACCTGAAAATTGTGAAATACTTAATTTCACACGGGAAGCCAGACTTTTGGTGCTAGCTTTGAACTACTTTCAAGGGAAGTAAAGTGGATGTAAGAGAGAATCTTCTCAGTAAGGAAATGGAATTTTCATGGATGCACTGAGGAAAGGATAAGCAGAGGCTGGTAGGGATGTGGGAAGGAATTTATGTTTTTAGTGACAATGAAGTTTAAGGAGATTTTGAATCATAAGGATGTTACTATAACACTCTGTCTCGCTTGCTTGCTCTTGTGCTCTCTCCTCTCTTTCTTTCTCTCTCTCTCTCTCTCTCTCTCTCTCTCTCTCTCTCCCTCTCTCTGTGTGTGTGTGTGTGAGAGAGAGAGAGAGAGAAAGAGAGAGGGGGGGGCTGAGCTTTACCTGCTGTGGTTAGCACATGGTCTGTTGGTGCTTTGCCTGTGGGGTGTGTCGTCCCCTAACAGTGTTTTTGTTCTCAAAAGACTGGAAAAAGAGGAATTGAAAAGAAAGGCAGAAGAGGAAAGGCTGCGCCTAGAGGAAGCCCGTAAGCAAGAAGAGGAAAAGAAGCAACAGGAAGAAGAAAAAAGAAAGGCAGAAGAGGAGGCAAAACAGAAGGCTGAAGAGGAGCTGCTGTCAAAAGAAAAGCAAGAAAAGGAAAAACAAGAAAAAGCCATGATTGAAAAGCAGGTACAGTCTGAGGTCTCAGACTTTTTCTTGTTTTTCAATGGCTTTACTTAATATTGGACAAAATTTGTTCAATTTGAATGACACATAGTAATAACTTGAAGTTTTTTTTTTTTTTACCAAACACCCTGTTCTGGTTATTAACATAACTTATGTGGAATAAAGTGAAGTTATTAATGTGTGCCATGTGAGCTTGGATTTCTCTACTGGAGGTAGATATTGGAATAAGAATTTGGGTGCCACTGGTTTATTCGGAAGAAAAATCCCACGAAGCTGGTATGGTAATAAAGTCAGTATAAGTATATTGATGAATATAGCTCAGTGCCTTTTTTACCTCTAAGGCTAAAGCTCAGGAGGAGTGAGGAAACTGGACAATTCACTTACTAACACTACTCTTTATTGTGGAATACTGCTCCTTGTGGGAATTAACTTCTGGGATTGTCTGCAAATGTGCACATTTCCTGGCCTGTCCACAAACACGGGGACCTTCATCATGTGTGAAAACTATCTTTTTGTTTATTTGTTTCTTTCAGAAAGAAGCAGCAGAAGCAAAGGGACAGGAGGCAACTAAACAGATGCGTTTAGGAAGAGAAAAGATTTTGCTGCAGATTGAACAAGAACGACTGGAGAGGAAGAAGGTAAGAGTTGAGGGATCAGGAGGATGTAAGAACCAGGAAGCGAATCCAATCTATGTCTTTATTATTTTTTTGTCATCATGTTCTATTGGTTACTGAGAAAGTAGTGATTAGAAAACTTCATTAGTGGGCTGGGGATATAGCCCAATGGTAAGAGTGCTTGTTGATCACATATAAAGTTCATTTGTTCAACAACCCTCAGCCCTAAAATCAATCGAGTTCTTTTTATGATTTTGAATTTCCCCATCTCACCTTTCATTTCTGTCAGTTTTATTACACACACACACACACACACACACACACACACACACACACACACACAGAGTATTAAAGCCCTATGTTATTTGCATATACATATCAGATAGTTACATTTTCTTTTTGCATTGACAGTTTGATTATGAAATTCCTGTTTTAGTTCTCTCTTTTTTTTTTCTCAAAGTGTTGGCTGTCCTAGAACTGGCTCTATAGATGAGGCTAGCCTCAAACTTAAAAATCTGCTTGTCGCCGGGCCTTGGTGGCACACACCTTTAATCCCAGCTCTCGGGAGGCAGAGGCAGGTGGATCTCTGTGAGTTGGAGACCAGCCTGGTCTACAAGAGCTAGTTCCAGGACAGCCTCCAAAGCCACAGAGAAACCCTGTCTCGAAAAACCAAATGAAAAAAAAAAAAAACTGCTTGTCTCTGCCTCCTGAGTGTTGGGACTAAAGGCATGTGCCAACACGCCCAGTGTTGGTTCTAATAATATTCCTTAAAATTTCCTTTGGCAGCCTTTTTATGATTAATGTCTTGATGGTAAATCTTTTTCCATATTTTCTTTGAACATGTGTGTTTATGATTGTCCTTTGTAAACAACATATAGTCAGGACTTGCTATGTGAATCTAATTTAACAGTTTTTGCCTTTCAATTGAATGATTTATTACTTTTAAACTTAATGTACTTACATATCAAGTTGAGTTAAGGAGACTGACTATGAAGACCTGTTTTTGTGCTGTCCTAGGCCCAATGTGGGCTTTATATTGCTGTTGATCTAGGAGCTAAGAGATCTGTGACACTTCCTGAGTTACTACTGTTCAACTTAGCTTTCTATAGCAGTCCCCTTGAATGGCAAATGGTAAGTTTTTTATTTAAAGAGAGGGAGAAAGCTGATATACAAACTATATGTTAATTCTAGATCTGTATTAGGAGCCAGCTTTTTAAAAAATTAATTCTTAATTTGCTTAATTCTTAAAATATTTTTATTCTCTTATATCTCCCACACAGAGAATAGATGAAATCATGAAGAGAACAAGGAAGAGTGATGCATCTCTAGAAGTGAAGGTAGGAATTCAGATAACCATTATGTCGGTGGAGAAGAACAGCAGAATATGTTTAGTGACATTGAAGGTTTGAGACAAATGCCTAGAAAAAGTAGACTTTTCCTGTTCTGTTCAAGGCAAGGATCAGGAAGGAACTGAGACCTTAAAGGAAAGAGGAATTTCAGAGATTCCCTCAGAGCATTGGGGTGGTAATACAAGGAAAGACAGAGTAGTTTGAAGTGACTTAATTATTAAGAGAAATAGAGCATCAAAAATCACTTCCTGCTCTGTCACAGAGGGTTCTGAATACTCCCTGGTGCTTTTTTATAAAGGTTTTTTTTTCTGTATAATGTCAATCTTTCAAACTTCATCACCTTCCTAATTTCTTCTCCAGTTACTGCCATTGACTTGTTTTTTAACTTTTGTTTCCTTTCTATAGTTATTTTTATTGGCTACTTTTTTGTTTTTTCTTCCTTTCCCCACTCTTTCCTAATCATCCACCTTCTGTTTATTTCTAGAAGGAAGACCCCAAAGTGGAGATTGAGCCTCTGGCAGATGTGGAAAATAAGACAAAACCAGTTGTCCCCAACAAAATAGGTAAGTGTGAAGTCTGGTGTTTGGTTCCTTTAGGTGATGAGGACTAGTGAACCTTTCTGCTGGGGCTGGGGGTCAGGGTAGTGCATCTAGGTCCCAAGGAAGTGGCTGCTGGCAGTTTTGTTTGCTGAGACATCTTTCCAGTATAAGTGCTATTGGCTCCATTTGGGAAGCCACTGCCGTCCTCACCTGCTTTAATAACTGATTGGTTCAGGATGCTTTCAAGGGACCTTGACTGTATATCAGGTATTACTAAGACCTGGATTATCTCTTGAACTGAGGCCCTGCAGACACTGATAATGAGATGATATTCTCTTCTCCTTTGTGAAGCTGATTGAATGGAGTTATTGATGCTTCTTTCCACAAACAAAACAAAACAACAAAACCATTGTATTACTGGTGTAAGAAAGGATGAAAAATAATTGCCTTGTTATATGTTCCCTGCCACTTTATCAAATTTGAAATTTTTTATTCATCTGAAGACTTTGTGTTCTTGTACAGAAATCAATGGACTGAACATCTGCCAGGAAGTAAATAGTTCAGAGCGTGCTGCTCCAGAAACCTTTCCCCAAGACATTTTCTCTAATGGCCTTAAACCAGTTGTGCCACCTGTTCATCTAGAGGGCCTTGATGGGAAATCAAACAGTCTTGATGATTCAACTGAAGAAGTTCAGTCTATGGATGTGAGGTATGTTCATTTATTTTGCATTTAATTTTGGTCTCTTTGCCCATCACTGGCAATTGCTCCATCTTTTTCCATCCTTTTCATTTCTTTTAGTTTTTTTTACAATATACCTTTTTTATTTTATCCCTTCACCCATATCCCCCATCCATAATGAAATCACCCCGAAAGCAGGTTTTGTTGATACAGGAAAGCAGTTACTGGTGTAATATAAGTGTCTTGAGTTTGGCATCCTAGAAGCAGAATGTTTTTGTGGCATATGATTTACAGGAGGACAACTGTGGAGGGAGGGAAGGCACTAAGCAAGAATGTCTTCTCAATCTCCTGGAAGATTTGCAGGCTGGTTTTCCACCAGGGCATCATTTTTATCACTTTATATAGTGATATATATTGGTCATTCAGTGTGGGCATGTTGGATGATGCAGGAGTAATTGTGGCCATAGTGGCTCCTGTCAGTTAAAAGAAATTGTCAATAGAAAGGCTAGCTGTGAATCTTTGGCTAGCTAGCCCTCTGAAGCTGGGAAGTAGGTTCACCTGCAAGTAAAGGAGGTGTAGCCTAACCACAAATGGGGTCTCCTGTATCCATGGTCTCACATTTAAGTAAACTTTTAAGTTAATGCTGAGAATGGTTGCAGATGCTTGTAATCCAAACACTCTGGAGGCAAAGACAGGAGAACCAACAGGTCAACAGCAGCCTGTGCTGAATAGCAAGGTTCTACCACAGAATGATAATGGGGGGCAAGTTTGTTATTAAAGACCCAATAAAAGGACTAATTTGTTCTCAGTTACTAAAACCTAAGATATTTTTAAACTGGTATGTTTGCCAAATGGCAAATAAATCTGAGATAAAAAGAGATAATTTTCTTGTGATTGAGGTAGAGGTGTTGGAGTAAAGGGTGACTCTTCAAGTCAGAAGAGTAGGGCAGTATTTTATAGAAGTTCTACCAGAACTCCTACCTGTTAAGAGATTATCCTTTTTTCATCAACCATGAACCCTCTGCTTTATTTGGGTAGATATGAGCAGCCTGTGACACACAGTGATAATTGATATCCCATTCATCCACATTGGGTTTTAACCAAATACATGAAAATCTAAGCTCCAACAGCCCTATCACCAGCATAGAAAATCCTGTATAGACTGATAGTGAGGCTCCCCACCAACCGTCAGCTGGATATCCCCACACCTCCCAACACCACCTCACAACCTTCCCCTGACTGGTGCCACTCTGTTCCCAACGGAGTAAAACTGAAGCAGTCATAATGGTTAACACACCGATATGGAGCCAAGTGAGGTTTATTTTATGTTTTGAGATTTTCAGGGGGTAAGACATGGCACCATTAGCCAGGATTCATAAAAGTGAATGGGATTTATACACTGAATTCTCCTTTAGAGAGAGGTGTCTAGTGGAGCCACATGTAAGCTTATGGTGGCATTCTCTTACTCGTGCTCTTTATTGTCATTAATGCTGGTAGCAGTGGGTTTTTCATTTAGCTCAGACTGGCCTCAAAAGTCACTATTTACCTCACAGTGACCTTGAACTTTTAATTCTCCTAACTAATGATATTTTATGCATGTGCCAACATGCCAGATTTTCTCTGTGTTCTTGAGGAGTTGAAATGAGGGGAATGGTGGGGAAAGGTGTAGGTGGGGCTAGATGTTTCTACTTAATAAGGCAGCTTGCCCAGATACTCAAAGCTGCCAGGTCAGTTACTGTTCCTTAGCTTGGCTCAGGTGTGAGAGAAGTGGATCCTTTGAGCTTACACAAATCTACTGGTTTTTCTAGATTCTTCTCTAAGATCTCATGAGGTAAGAAGAGCCTGGCATCAGCCTTACTTTAGATGTTAAGATTCTTTCTGAGAAAGGCCCTTAATTCCTAACCTGCTAGTCTTCTGGACCTGGATATGCTCCTTTGCTAGACCTATAGAAGATAGCAGCAGTGAAATTCCTCTCAACTCTAGGGAAAGAAAATAACAAAAAAGCAAGCCTCATCTGGGTACATCTAGATAAATCAGGGTGAATTGGAAGCCTAGTTTTAGAAAAGAGGCAGTGGGTAATATTGGGTCTGTAGTTGTCTAGGGTGACAGCGGGATCCATGTTCCCATTTCCCAATCTTAACTAAGTACATGCTTTATGTGGCCCTGCATCAACTCTTCTCAGCATAGTTACTTCACATCTCAAAGGAGTGGTGGGAGGAAATAACTCTTCTTTCCATGTTACAGGGGGGATGAAACTGAGGCCAGGAACAGGAAAAGCAGCTCACCATAGACAACATTGCTGGAAGGGCAGCACCAGAAGGATCCAGTGTAAATTAGGGCCCTTTTCAGTTCACTTTGGACTTTTGGCCCTTACTTGCTCTTGCAATATCCCAGCTAAAAGCTCTGGGAGGGCATTGCTTCTCTGTAGTAATGTGGTGGTGCCTGTAGGTTTTTTTTTTTCTTTCAGCCCTCAGGTACTGGGCTCTATTTTTCACTGCCCTGCTGGTCTACTTTCCTTGTTCTCATCTATACGGACCTTGTGTCTACCAGCTTCCCAGATGTGAAGTCACTTGTTGTTTTCTTAACTCATCTTTTCCATAAGAGCAGTATAGCAAAACCACACAAAACGAGGAAGTACATTAACACATCATGTTTCATTCTCATGTTCTCTCTCCTCTCTGTCTCTCATTCTGTGTCTCCCTCATATCTTCTAGTCCTGTTTCCAAAGAAGAGCTTATCTCCATCCCAGAATTTTCACCAGTGAGTGAAATGATTCCTGGGATGTCTCTGGACCAAAATGGAACTGGTAATGCACGGGCGCTTCAGGATATTTTAGATTTTACTGGACCCCCCATGTTCCCCAAGAAATCCAGTGAAAATCTCAGCCTTGATGACTGTAACAAAAACCTCATCGAAGGATTTAACAGTCCTGGGCAAGAAACTACTCTGAACACCTTCTGTTGACAGACACCATTCCTTTAATGAAAGGTACAGTTTTTTAATGATACTCTAAATCTATAATTTCCCAGCTGAGATTTGTAAACATTGGATAAATGCCACCTAGCCTCTTAGACAACTGATTTTATATGAAAATTACAAACATGAATATTTATTGCCAGACACACATAGTGAGGATTTTAAGTAATTTCTTTATATTCTAAGTGAGTCTCTAATGTAGTATACTACTCATGTTGTTGTTGAGAAGGTTTGATGGCCAATCTATTTCAGGGAGAATCTTTTTTAGAGCCCAGGAATGAGTGCTGAGGGTAGTTCTACCAAAGTGAACCTCTCTTCTTAGTTTTCTTTTTTTAAAGATTTATTTATTTATTTATTTATTTATTTATTTATTTATTTATTTATTTATTATGTATACAGTCTTTTGCCTGCAGGCCAGCAGAGGGCACCAGATTTCATTCAAGGTGGTTGTGAGCCACCATGTGGTTGCTGGGAATTGAACTCAGGGCCTCTTAACCGCTGAGCCATCTCTCCAGCCCCTCCTCTTAGTTTTCTTAAGTGACTTCCTATACTCTACCTATAATCACTCATACAGACTGAGTGATGAGCCAAATGGTCGGCTGTTTTATTGACCTATTCTGGATTCTTCCAAGCAGACATCTGTTTTGGGATCACAGTTGAGGTGGGAGAGGAAAGAACTTTATTTTTGTGTCCTGAAGGTTTTCCCCCACCACTGAGCTTTTTGTTGTTGTTGTTGTTCACCAAAGAGCTTTTGTCTCACTGGCATTCTGATGCTCACTCTTGCTTGATTGCTCAGTCTCTTTTTGGCCCCTAGAGGTTTTTCATTTTCTCTCTTCCTCCCTCTCCCTCATGTATTTTACATGCTAAGCTCATATTCTACTACTGAACAACACCAGTCACTCTTATGTGACAGTTTTTAATCAGTTATATGCATTTCACAGTTGTGTACACTTAGATTTCACATTTGATTTACTTCAGTTTAGGAGTTTTTTTTTTTAATTGTGTGTGTGCATACACACAGGAGTGAAGGCCTTGGAGGCCAGAGGTATCATGTTCCCCCTGGATCTGAAGTTACAGGCAGTTGCAAACCTGCTGTCATGAGTACTGGTAATCAAATTCAGGTCCTGTGCAATAGCACTAAGCACTCTTAATCATTGAGCCATCTCTCCAGCTCCTGGGACGTGTATTTGAACAATGCAAACATAATTAGGATCTATAATCACATTCTTGGAGAAGTACATAATTCTGATTGCTCCTGACATTTTATTTTAATTTTTTGTGTATGGTGCCTGCTTGTGTGTGCACAGATGTCCTCATCTATTACTCTCCACCTTATTCCTCTGAGACAGGGTCTGTCACTAAACCTGCAGCTCACCCCCCCTTTTTTGGTTAGGCTATCTGAACAATAAGTTTCAGCAATCCTCCTGCTCCACCCCTAACCCACTCTGTGATTACAGATGCCCATGGCCATGTACATCTTCTATGTGTGTGTTGTGCGTCTGTACTCATACTGATGCTGACAGAACAAGCACTTTTACCTACTAAGTCTTCTTCCCAGCCCTCCCACCATTATAGATTCTTAAAAAGTTTTTAGGCTCTCAGAATTTCATCACTTTATTTTTTATGGTGCTGAATTCTAACAAAAATTTGTTGCCTAAACTGGTTTAGTCTAGTTTTTTTTAAATAAAATACAGTAATAGAGTGGGAAGGCCACAAAGTTATATTCTGTGTGCTTATTTCCACCTGACCTCAGTCCTTGCTTATAGAGTCTGTAGTCTAGACAGTGAGCTCTAGAACTTCCTTCAGTCAGTTCTCTGCAAAGTCCCTGGAGCCCTTTGACACAGGAGAAGAAACACATGACAAGCCACTTTTAGTATTTTGAGAGAAGATCTCACATAGACTAGACTGAACTCACTATGTAGACTAGAATGATATTGAACTTCTGAAAGAGTGGCTACTTTCTTGAACACTGAAAACACGAATTCACCTGAGAATTCTGTATCCTTGACAGTTACATGGTTTAATATTCATTAAGAGGTTTCTTTTGTTGTTACTATACCTTGATTTAATTAACTTCCATCCAATTCACTTACCTTACTATCCAATAAATGCATTATGCACAGCAGGTTCAAGGCTTCTAATATTTTCCCATATCCTAGCTAAAAGAAATGGCCAAAAGAAAAAAAAAAACAATCTTGACTGAATCACTTCATTGACATTGCTTATGCATTCTAATGAGCTTTAGACTAGTTCCCAAATCCTTCTAAACCAAAGGTGGCTTATTGCTTGCCACAGTACTTGAAACATTAAACACTTTAAGGTTTGGATGTAAGGATAATCTTGATGGCTTGGAATATATCCCATTCTTTCCTACCTCATCCTTCCTGAAACTGTGCACTAGCCCTACTTCCTCAGTGAAGAACTGTTCTTCGTTCAAGGGCAGACAATCTCAAAACATCTCCCATATGAGGAACATTTGACCATACTAAAAGAATGATTCTGTAAAAACTGCTACTCTATTTCTGTTGAGAAATAGTGTATTAGCCAAAGAAGAGTGCAAAATACTTGGTTTCTGCCTTAATTTTACCTGGTTTTGCTTTTGAATTGACACAGGTGATGTTTGGATTACCCATGAAGCTGTCGGAGTTAAATCTGAGCTGCTGGCCACTTGAAGAAGCTTCTTTCGCCCTTAACCGCTGGATTCCAAATTACTAGATCAGAATGTAACTGTATTCCTAGGTAGTTTGGCAAACACTGGCCTTCTCTTGGTAGAAACCTTGAGATTTTTGCCTTGTTGGGCTTTAGCAAAGTTTCATTTTATGGTTCTATTTATGAGCTTCAGCTGCTGCTAGAGCACTTCCTTGTCCTTCTCTAATATCATAACCTTTGTGATGCTGGCTGGGAACCTCACTTTAGGACACTTGCATTCCCAGAGTTGGAAAACATAAACATTTAGATGTCTCTTCCTATAAAAATCTTCTATTTATCCACACTCTAGTTAAACATGTACTCAACCTGGGCTGCTTATATACTTGTCTTTTTTGGTGGGAGAGAAATCTAGCCATTTTCTCCCCGTCTCGGGTTTCTGTTATTTTATTTTTATTATTAAGCTTCATCACCTGCAGAGCATTATCCCACATTACTTTTTTGGGCGTTAAAGAAATGTTTGATTGAATAAATAATTAAACAGTGGCAATTATTTCTTTCCCCTCATGCATATTCTCCTTATGCATACTTGGGCAATTGAATCTAGCAAGGACCCTTTCATGTCATACCTTTAAAATCTCCAAATTGTCAGCCCAAAACCACTGAATGGCTTTTCAACTGAATGAATCGAGTCTCCTGCAGGTGGTTGTTTTCATGGTTTTGCTATTGTTTTTCTATTGGATCTTGGATGTTTCTTTTGTTTGGTCCTATGTTTGCTTAACTGTAATGAAAGAGTCACAGTGCTTTGAAAGGGGGCCCCAAGTTGGTCCCAGTATGTCACTTTAATAGACTTTAACATTAAAAAGTCTAAATAAGGAAAAATGACACTAGAATGTATAACTCCATACATTTTATGCCATATAATGCTATATTTAAAATTTTCATTTCTTGTGGTGAAATATAGCTTTACTATTAAATGACCTTTTCTTTGGAACTTTTTGTTTTGACTTGTATCTTATAGCTTTTGAAAATATGGTTAATTCTGAGGTTTACAAATAGGAGATATAAACAAATCTCAGTAGTGATCTTGTTCTGTACTTTTAAAGCTGGCACTGTTTAAGAATGTATTAGTCTCAAAAGCTATGTATGTTTATGTGATATAGTCTAAATAAAATGCATACCTCTAAGAATATTGTGTTATTGACATTGGTGAACATCAAAGTATATATATCTTTTATGACAAGCACACAGATGATAGCATGGTCTGACATCCAAAAAATAGCTGTCCTTTTTTCTTAAAGCTTTATTTTGCTAAGTGTCTGTTTCATTAAGCTCCATTGTACTTCACAGCACCATTGTAATCACATGATGCCTCATTTGCATGATGTGTACATTCTGTTTAATGTTAAATACATTTTCATTGAAGAGTCTGATAACTTGCTGGTGTTTTGTTTCTGTACATTCAGTAAAGAAACTCACTGAAACCAACTCAGATTTTTAAAACCTGAAACCAGGTAGAGAAAAAAGGCCAATTGATTTCTTCGTAGGTGTTCTTTCTCTGTCAAATTCATTAACAATTCCTCAGTTGTCAGTGCCAAGTGGAGCCCAATGCAGTTTCGGTGATGGCCTGTCCCTAGAACATGATGAACATCAGAGAATGGTTAGGTTGCTGTACTTTCATACAAGCAGTGATGAAAGCAGTTGTTAGCTAAGTGAAGAAATAGCTAATTGTGGTATAATTGATGAGAATTTGACATAGCAGTTTGGCATTCCGATGATTGTAATGGTTCTTACTTTCAAGGATGTGGAAACACAGACCTGAATTTTTTGTATTTGTGGTGTGATTTTTCCTGGGGAGACATGAACAAGTGTCTGGTTACTCAAGATAAGCACTGACAATGACAGACACCCAAGTCTTTCTTGGTGAATGAATGAGTTTATTAGGGTTCCTTCAGATGTATGGGTGAGAGGTTATTTACAGGCACACAGAAGAATGAAAGGTAAGTATATAACATAAAAAAACTACCCCAGCATGGTGATGACTCTCAAAAATGCAATCCCTAGAGTTTTAGAATGTTCTTACAAGTCAGTTGCAGACAGGTTAGCCATCAGGAGACTGCTCTCACCAGCAATTGTTTACTGTTTGTATAACTTTGTGAATCTTGTAGTCTGATACTTTTGTTTACATCATCCAGCTTATAAGTCTCCTCTCCATGAAGGGAAGCTCTGCTATGAGGCTGACAGTGGTGACCAGTCATTCCTAAGAATAATTGTTAGTTTGTGAATATTCTACTTGTTTTCATGGTGTATATACATGTTTCCTATTAAATGCTTTTAGAAATCAAATTTAGAAATAATACAAAAATAAATCCGCTTTTAAGTATATACACTTTATTTTGGGCAGAGCACAAGGCAACTCCAATATTCACTTTTCAGCATTATTCAGGAGTCCTGATCACAAAAGACAGTGATAATTTTTTAGAAATAATAGAAACAAGAAGCCTTTGCTATAAACTTCCACCCAAGAACCCTGGAAGGAACAACTGAATAATAGTAAATGATTAAGAAAAATTCAATAGTTTGGTTTTTATGTGTTAGAATTTTTAAGGATCCCTGTAAATCCCATAAAATTCCTAGAAATAGATACCTCTTGAGAACTTATTTGGACGTTCTACCAGAGAAGCACAGCTGGTCTATACCCTGCTTTATACCTGTTCTCTATCAGGGAAAGTCATTATCGTCAGTCATCCAAGCATGAAGCTTAAGGAGGGAGAAACATGGACTAGTGAGAGAGGAACAGGGTACCTGCCTAGGCAGCTAGATCAGCTGAATCAACCCTGAGGGTCATCAGGATGATAGATGTTACAATCCGATGGCCCACATATCCAAGGAATAGCTTTCTGAAGCTTGACCAAGGAATGTAAGGATAGATGGAATATCTGTGCATGTGAAGATGATCAATTTTGGGAGGGGGTACTCGAATTTTGGCCTTTCAGAGGGATTTCTTTTGGACAAAACTAGAATTGTAGAGTTTATGTAAGAAAACAAAATTAAGAAACTTAGCCAGGGATTGGTGGTACACCTTTAATCCCAGCACTCGGGTGGCAGAGGCAGGTGGATCTCTGTGAGTTCAAAGCCAGCCTGGTCTAAAACACTACACTACACACACACACACACACACACACACACACACAAACCCTGTCTCAAAAAACAAAGAAAGAAACTTAAGTGAGATTTCTCCCAGAAAAATTTAAAATGCATAAAACTTTTGTCACTTAAAACAGTATAGTCTGGGGCTGGAGAGATGGCTCAGCGGTTAAGAGCACTGACTGCTCTTCCAGAGGGCCTGAGTTCAATTTCCAGCAACTACATGGTGGCTCACAACCACCATGAATGAGATCTGGTGCCCTCTGCTGGCATACGGACAGAAGACTGTATACGTAATAAATAAATAAATCTTTTTTTTAAGTGCTCTAAAAAAAAAAAAAAAAAAAAGTATAGTCTCATAGAGAATTTAGAATAGCATTGGAAATAGTGGAAGCCAGCATGACTGAAGGTACATTTGCATTTAATATTGTATGAATCTGGTAGTTGCTCATTCATACCTGTACAAAAGTAATAGGTGACTTAGTGCTTCCAGAGGGTCAACTAAGTTTAGGTTCTAGAATGGAGTAGGAGGAGAGCCTAGAAGTTACAGTGAAGAGATGAAAAAGCAGCATCTAAGATGTGGATCCCAGTTGTCGTTTAATGCTTAGTGGAACAAAATTTAGGTACAAAGTTTGTAGGCCTCTTCTGACGATCCTGATGCCTATTGCTCTCGGATGTGCTGTATCAAGCAAGTGGGGCACAAAAGTTCACTCTGCTTTAGGATTCTGTGTTAATATGCTGTAATGACACGCAGCATGAACTAAGCTTTGTTGTTCAATGTGGTGGTAAGATTTGTTCATGCTGTGAGCTAGATATAAGATGGTAACTTCCCCCAAAGGTAGCATTCAGCAGAGCTGACAGTTTTTTGTTGTTGTTGTTGTTTAGTTTGGTTTTGTTTTTTTGTTTTGTTTTGGTTTGGTTTTGGTTTTTCAAGACGGGGTTTCTCTGTAGTTTTGGAGCCTGTCCTGGAACTCATTCAGTAGACCAGGCTGTCATTGAAGTCACAGAGATCCCGCCTGTCACTGCCTTCCAAGTGCTAGGGTTAAAGGTGTGCACCACCACCACCCAGCTAGGCAAAGCTGACCAGGGCACCAGTAGCACTTTTTCCCTGTTTTTGATGGCAAGTAGGGAGTCCTAGTTCTGAGTATGCTTAGTTACAAAGGGACTTCTGCCTTCTCCCTGAAACCTTTTATTAAGAAACTGAGCTGAGCATCATGGCACATACCTTTTTTTTTTTTTTTTTTTTTTTTTTTTTTTTTTTTTTTTGAGCCAGGCTTTCTCTGTGGCTTTGGAGGCGGTCCTGAAACTAGCTCTTGCAGACTAGGCTGGTCCCAAACTCAAAGACATCCTCCTGCCTCTGCCTCCCAAGTTCTGGAACTAAAAGCATGTGCCACCACCACCCGGCCATGGCACATACTTTTCATCCCAGCATTTAGGAAGCAGAGGCAGTGAGATCTCTTCAGTTGAGAGCTAGCGTGGTCTGTGTAGCTTCAAGACAACCAGGGTTTTCTTATGTAGAGAAACTGGATCTCAAAAGAAAAACACAAATAATTTTTAAAAAATCTTGATATAGAGTTGGCATACTATAAAACTCATGCTTTTAACATATACTATCAGAGCTGGTAATATACCTCTGTGATAGGGTACTTGCCTAACATACATGAGTTTCTAGCTGTAATTCCCAGCACTAGGACGGGAAAAAAAAAAAAAAAAAACAATGGTCTCTATTCCAATGTTTTGCTACGTTTGTTACTAATTGTTATACATTATCATTTGTGTGCTTTGGGTGGGGGGGTACTTTGTTTTAAAACAGGGTCTCATGTGACCAATGCTGGCCTTGAATTCATTGTATAGCCAAAGATCCTCGGCCTTCTGCCTCCAGCTCCCAAGGGCTAGGATTACAGCTTTGAGTATGCCTTTTCAAGGGTTTTCTTAACCATGTTGCACAGCCTGACTTTTAATCATTAGGTCATGTCCTCTTTGTACCTGGAAGCAGGACAGTGGACTTGAAAATAGTGCTCTCTACAGCAGCCATTTTTTCAACATAAAAATTAGGGTGACGGTTATATAACTTAAGGTGGGCCATATTGTGGAGGTCCACATTTTTTAAAAAACATGGTCTTACATGCTAATTGGTGTCAATGAGTTTTTAGGTTTTTTTCCCAGCCATGGGAGGGGAAAAAAAAAAAAAAAAAACAATGGTCTCTATTCCAATGTTTTGCTACGTTTGTTACTAATTGTTATACATTATCATTTGTGTGCTTTGGGTGGGGGGGTACTTTGTTTTAAAACAGGGTCTCATGTGACCAATGCTGGCCTTGAATTCATTGTATAGCCAAAGATCCTCGGCCTTCTGCCTCCAGCTCCCAAGGGCTAGGATTACAGCTTTGAGTATGCCTTTTCAAGGGTTTTCTTAACCATGTTGCACAGCCTGACTTTTAATCATTAGGTCATGTCCTCTTTGTACCTGGAAGCAGGACAGTGGACTTGAAAATAGTGCTCTCTACAGCAGCCATTTTTTCAACATGAAAATTAGGGTGACGGTTATATAACTTAAGGTGGGCCATATTGTGGAGGTCCACATTTTTTAAAAAACATGGTCTTACATGCTAATTGGTGTCACATATCGGGTGCTCAATATGGGCTTCTATGGTAATAAGAAACAAAGATTAGAGGAAATTGACTTCAGATTCTTCAAAAATCCTGAGCCTTTGGAGATAAGGCTTTTAAAAATGACCATGGTCTCAAATATGTAAGGTGACCTACAGTGTAAAGGATTGCTCCTATTAGTTAACCACTAAAGAGAGAAAGTGCTGCCCACCTGCCAACTTCCAGGTCAGATGTAAGGCAATTGGGAGTTCAAACTGTAAAGAAATAATATACTGCCAAGGCCCAGGAAGCCATCTTGCTAAAGACAGAAAGAGTAAGAGCTAAGCAAACATCTTCATGTATGACACATACAGAATTTGCTCCCATTCCCCACTTTTTTTATGTGTATGGGAGTTTTGCCTGCATATGTATCTGTCTGTGCACTGTGTTCATGTGGTGCCCATGGAAGCCAGATGAGAGCATTGTATACCCTGGGATTGGAATTATAGATGTTTCTGAGCAGCAAGTTGGTTTCTGGGAATTGAGTTTGTGACTTCTGGAAGAGCAGTATTCATAACTGCTGAACCATCAATCTAGTTATGAAAATAAATTTTAAACAAATTATTCATAAGGTAAGTACAGACCACAAAGATCAAAAGTAGTATTCTGTCTCTGTGTGTACATGTTTGTGTGT